TGTCATTATTAAAGTGTTGAGGTGTATATTAAATAGTTTGCTAAATGCCCATTTTAAGCATTCACCATCTCTCGAAATTGGTAACTCGCAAATTGATTTTCCCAACAACCTCAGAGCCCCCGTTTGGGTTATAAGCTTACACAGCAAACCTATATTACATGGAAAATATTAAATTATTCACTATAAAGAATGAGGAAAAAATATTTAGTTTGATCATCACCATACATTCTTACCAACAAACTATTCTTTTAGGGGATTAAGGATGTTTTCACCCAAAATAGAGTGGAGATGATATATCCTCCACCAAGGCTAAGTAGTGAGAAAATATTTAAAAAAAGTAAATTTCATACCCATGATAATTGATTCTCCATCATTAATTATTTACAAAGTTCTTGGTTATTGAGTTACTTATAATTTGACAAAGAATGATATTTTTTGGTCTCTGTCATATTGGAGAACAAACTTAATCGGACATAATTTAGATGTGATACATATACAGAAGAATAATTTTAATAAATTTTTCAATACAGTGATGAATATTAAGGGTAAATCTAAAGATAATGTAAAAGTTAGGATGGATTTAAAGGATATTTACAGGAGGAAAATGTTGGAGTTGAATGATGGTGAAAATGGTAAACTTCTAAGGCCAAAACCTTAATTCACCTACACTTTAGAGCAGAGGTGAGGAATTTGTGAATGAGTCTAGAGCCTAATGCTACATGATGGACATACTTCCAACCTAAGTAGATGCGTTGATATAAGAATGGGGAGATTATTCGGATTGAAAAGACATTACTATTGCATCATTATGGAATGTTTGCTGCCCATTGCTTTCAATTCTCTTCCAGATTAAATTTTAATTTCCTTGATTTAACTATCTTCTTCAAGGACTTATTCTCATCAAGACTAAATGAAGAAGCTTTGTTCCATATTGAACAAAAAATGCCTTTTTTTATGTGCAAGCTTGAGAAGATTTTTTCTCTAGAAATTTTTAACTCTATCGAATATCTACCCGTGCATTTATCATATGAGATTAGAGTTGGTGGACCAGTTTAGTATCGGTGGATGTATCCTTTTGAGAGGTAATTTTATTCAAACATAACATATCAAAACTTATTAGCAAATCTCTAGTTCACTCACCTATATCATTCAAGTATTTAAATAAACTTAAGAAGATTGTAAAGAATAAATCATATCATAAAGTATCAATATATGAACCATACTTGATATATGAGACTACTCAATTTTGCCCATACTACTTTGGCACAGAGTTAGAATCGACAAAGACTACTACACCTCAAAATTTGGCTAATCAAAATATATATTCATCTACCAATATCATATCAGTATTCAACGGAAGTGGTGAGGTAGCAGGCGCTTGTATTATACATCATTTAACATATAAAGAGATGAGAGGTATATCATTATATACACTACTAAATTGTGTTAAAGTTGAGCCATATATCGAGTAAGCTTCAATTAAAATTCAATACATTCTATGGACTCCTAAATTCAAAAATTTTATAGGAAGTTCATTAATGCTCTGAATACAACATCACAATTAGAGTAAGAAAAGAGAGTGGAATCTGAATTTTGACATTGGTTCAAAAAAAATGGAATGTATTTTGACAAGTCACTTCAACCTTCTATATAATCAATGAAAATTATAATAACATATATACACTTTCTACATAAACCAGGCTTATAATGAAGCCATAGATTTCTAATACCAAAGTTTCATGAGTATAGCATGGGGACCTATGAGAGTAGAGAAATGTTGGCCAATTTTTATTGTCAACGGTTACAGATTTCAAACTAAAGCTTGGTGTAAAGGTCAAAAAATAGAAAATTTTGGTGTAAGTGTGAAAGGGAACAATTATACAGGTCATGATTTTGAGTATTATGGGGTCAAAAAATATATTAAATTTAAAATAATCATATTATATGATGATGATCGTCTGCTTGTTTAATGTTATTTCAAATAGGTAAATTATCTAATTATTTTTAATTAAATTAATTAAAATTTAAATTGATCATGCTAAATGATGTGCATCATATTATATGATATGTTATATAATTAATCTAATTTAATAGACAAAATTAAAGCCTGATGTGATATTATTCAGGTTGACTTACTCCTACAATTCAATTTTGATCATGCTATACGAATTAGATTATTTTTTAAGATTGTACATAATGTAATTTTTATTTCAAAATAAGAAATTAGTTCTTATGGTGTTTAATATATAGAGATTTTTCTAGCTTGAAATACATGTGATGGAGGAGAAATTAAAGAAAATATATAATGTGTGAACATGTGTTTTATATTTATAAAGGAAAGAAAGTTATGTGTAGGGTTTCTCTAACACGAATTAAGGAGATACGCTTGTTTGTCAAGCACTGGCCAAACAAAATGATATTGTAAATCTCGAGTGGATGAGCCAAAACGTGGATAGATATGTTAGTGTCAAATAGTAATAAATATATTTGTGTCACTCTACGCTTCTATTCTACAACATCGATTTTTATTTTTACAGGCTCTAATATTTATGTGATGTGATAAAAATTATTTTAATCATACTTCTCTCAAATGATAAAAATAATGAGAATGATAGAATTACTTTGCTCTTGATCTTATTAGCATGTTGTGAAATAAATTGTTGTGTAGAATCAAATATAGTTTTTTTGTTTTTTTTTTATTTTTGTTTTTTTTTTTAAGAATCAAATATAGTTGTTTGTTGTTTGTATGATCAGCTTTGAAATATATTGGCTTATTAAGATCTCATATTTTGCTAAGAAAGGCCATTTTTATTTATTATTTTTACTTCTCAAAACAATAAAAAATATTTTTCAATTTTTAAAATTTCATTTATATAGTTTAAAATCGCACATCAATTCATCCCCCTTCCTTTCCCCCTCATAATGTGTGACATACACTAGAATTAAATTATTCTTCTCACCAAGAGCAATCAATTAAAGTGAATAGTTCATAGAACATTGAGTTATGACTATGAATATGATTTAAATACGAGATTATCTAACGATACGAGCAACTGCTCCTAATAAGATATTACTGGAGAGCAAATCAACCAACCCCTAATGTCTAAAAGTAATGCCAAAATCGTAATAGGCAGCCCTTGATCACGCGCGTCATGATCATATATGGTTCAAGCCAACAGAGTCTATTGAGATTATAAACAAGCTCCAAATTAAATGATATTTGATTATAATTTCGGCTGAATATGTCATGTTGGTTTGCACCTTGAAAAGAATTTTTAAAAAATATTGATTTAACTATTGGAATATTATGAAGTCAAAATTTTTTATTTAAATTTATGGTTGATCATATATCAATTGTATGGTCTAATGTCTAAAATGAAAATCATATGATACTTTGAATTTACAATTTCGAAGCCAAAATTATATTATATCTTACTAAATATTTGACTATTAAAAATAATTTAATTCATATTGAAGGTCAACCGTCTTGTGACTATAGATAGAATCCGCCAAATGTCATATCCTAAACGTTAAAAATATACATTAAATGATCGAATTAAAGTTAACAAGTCATAAATTAATAAATCAAGCCAATTTATTTCAATATAAATCAGACGGCCACAAATCAATCATAAATCGGGATCAGATCAGCTTTCTGAAATGAATTATTTATTTATTTTTTTCGTAAATTGCTGGGTCGGCTTTGAAAGCGAGGAGAAGAGAAGAGCGATCTGGCCAATTGTCGACGAGCAAAATTCCACGTGGCCGAATGCTATGCTATAGAATAATAAGATATTTTTTTATTAAAATAAATATAATTCATAATGTTATTTTCAAATGCTTTTTAAATTGAAATACTTATCTCATAATTTTTTAATATGTTGTATATAATTTTTTTCTTAAACAATTTGCTTTGCAAATGTTTTCTAATGTTCACAGACCTTCCATTATTTAAAATTAAATAAATATGCAATAATTTAATTTGAAGAAATATAAAATAGTTTAACTTTCTTATTTATAATGTTCTGAATATATGCAGTCCAATAAAAAGAATTAAAAATTCGATCATAATATTATGATTAATATTTAATATGCTTTATCCTATTTTGATGAGGTTATCCTCATATTTCTCACCTATTTTTCATCTTAAATAATACTACATAATTATAATAGATTTATATATTATTCATTCAATAAAAATATATTATAAAATGTAAATTAATTAAAAATATTTGTACAAGTGAAGTAAAATTGCAATTTTTTATAAATAATTTTAAGCAGATGCCTATTAATTTTGCTCTTATGCCTAACATCATTATACAAAATTGAAGTCTGAGGAATTCTATGCCAAAGTTATAATTCAAACAAAAATTTGATGTATTATCAATTTATTAAAATTTTATAAATTATATATAATATTTATTATAAAATTATTAATTTTTATCCTCTCCGAAATGTGGGTAGTTAAGATAATTGTTAATGAATAACAACTGTGCAATAGAGGGGATGAAACAAATTATTATTTTATTAATGATTGCAATTCATTCACAATTATGATTGAAGTTTAATTAGGATAATTTAAAATTTGTAGATGTATCTTAAGATAAATATAACAAATGAATAATTGAATTTTTGGATATTACATTAATTTCAAAATAAATTTGTAAATTTTATAATTTTAAAATACAAATATTATTTTTATTTTTCTATAAAATGAAATTAATGAATTCATTTTGAAATAAATATAATAGAAATTTATTTATTTTATTTTAATTAAAATCTGATGAAGATATAAGGATTTTTATTTTTATTTTTTCATTTTCTTAAGAGTTTAATAGGTCAGATTAACATAGGGCAATGGGTCTCTTTCAAGTTTAGTGGTGAAACTCTTAGAGAAATTGACGCATGGATTATTCTTTTCGATTTGGTTAACGTGGGAAGCGGGACTTTATATGCCTACCTCTTCATCTTCTTTTATAACCCTTTCTCCTAGCTGCCATTACAAGTAACCAAAGCGGGGAGCGTGTGGGGAGGAGGATGTTTGATTTTTGAAGAGAGAAAGAATAACGGTAGAGAAGAAGGCCAACTTGGTCTCTTCCTCCTGCGTCTTTTTTTTACTCATATCTTAGATTTCTCTTTGAAGTTCTCTCATTAGATTTCGTCGGCCGAGTTTGGCAAAGTTTGTGCCTCTTTGCGCTTTAGATTTTACTGTAGAAAGAGGGGAAGCAGAGAAAGGGGGAAGCTTGCCCACAAGTGTTCTCTAAAGAAGCCCGCCTTTCTTCTCTAAAGTTCGCTGGAGAAAAAATTTTGGAAGAAAGATTGGATTTTGCTTGAAAAGCTGAGAGATGTGGGATCTCAATGAGTCGCCGGACCAGAGAAATGCTGCGATATCCCAAGTCGAGGAGATCTCCTCAGGCGGTTCCGAAGCCATGGTGATGGAGCTTGGAGCGGGGTCTACTGAAAACTCCAGCTCCTCTACCGTCGTGATCGAGCACTCGAACGGTGGAGTCGGCGTTGAGGACTTGTTTGGGTTCGAGGAGAGCTACTCAGGCGAAAGTGAGACGGTAGTGACGCACCAGTTCTTTCCGATTAGTGAACGGAAGCCGGAGTTACCATTGCTTACTTTAGGCGCCGGTGGTATGCCGCCGGAGCAGAACACCAGGTTCGGATTGAAGCTGTCGGAGCCGGCCATGGCCGGCGGCGTTGTCAAGAACATGGTGGTCTCGCAGCCAATCAAAAAGAGCCGGCGGGGCCCGCGATCACGGAGCTCACAGTACCGTGGTGTCACCTTCTACCGGAGGACCGGTCGTTGGGAATCCCACATCTGGTATTCTTTTTCACTTTCCCTTCTTCCACAGTACTGAAAAAAAAATTTTGATTTTGAATCTTTTTCCGTTTTGACCTTTTTAAAATATATATATGTTCTCATTGTCCTCTTTATATTTTTCTTCCAGGGATTGTGGCAAACAAGTTTATTTAGGTAAGAATTATTCTCACAAATAATTAAAAAAAATCGGTTTTTGTGATTTTAAAACCCAAAAAATTTCATCGTGGCAATTGATTACCTTGTGCAGGAGGATTCGACACAGCTCATGCTGCTGCAAGGTAGTTAACCCTCTTCATTCTAGTCCAAAAATTTTGTTAAAGCTTTGTTCTGTTCATTTCTCCCTTCTAAAATTTGAACCTTCAGATTGAATTCTATAGTTTTTTTCATTTTTTTTTTAGAGCTTATGACAGAGCTGCCCTAAAGTTTCGTGGCGTTGAAGCAGACATTAATTTCATCCTGAGTGACTATGAGGATGAACTGAAGCAGGTATAGGTTCTTAGGCAAGTAATTGATCAGTAATTTTATTGAAAAAGTTTAGCAAAATGCATTTATTTTTTTCTTGCAGATGGGTAATCTAACAAAGGAGGAATTTGTTCTTCTTCTTAGAAGGCAAAGTACAGGATTTCCTAGAGGAAGTTCTAAGTTTAGAGGGGTTACCCTTCACAAATGTGGCAGATGGGAGGCTAGATTAGGCCAGCTTTTAGGCAAGAAGTATGTATCATATCCTTCTCAGATTCTTAAAATTTCCTTACAATGTTCTGCTAATCTAACTTTTCAAATCTTATTTTTGTAATAGATATGTTTATTTGGGTTTATTTGATACAGAAGTTGAAGCTGCTAGGTATGAAATATTAAACCATAATGCATTTTCAGAATCATGAACTTGTATTTTTCTTATTGTTGTATGAATATTTGCCCTTTTTGTGACTTACAGGGCTTATGATAAAGCTGCAATAAGGCTCAATGGGAGGGATGCAGTGACCAACTTCGACCCAAGGAAATATGGAGAAGAGCTCAACTCTGAAGGTAGTTTCTAATTTGAATGAGATCAAAAAAATAACCTTTTGAGGCTCTCAATCAATTACACAATGCTTTTATTTTTCTGAAAACTGATAACAGATGTAGAAGCTGATCATAATTTGGATCTCACTTTGGGGAGCTTCAGCTCTAAAAGAAGTCTTGCACCGATTGAAGATGATGGCTTGATGATCATGGATCAGAGGGTTCAAATGAGTTATGAACCTGAATGGATTAGAAGCACTGGACCCAAGGTATAGCAATCTTCTTCTGTTCAAACACCAGTCCAAAAAGATAAAACAATATAGCTAAGTTGCAGTATTTGCTCCTTTTATAGTACGATGACAAGCCTAACCTGCCTGAACAAGAGCATTACAGAACTAATCATCATCCCTCAAGCAGCATATATATCCAAACTCCAGTCCTCCAGGCCCATCGGCTTGAATTTGCTAACCATAAGCAAGTGGGTAGTCCGTCAATGGAATTAAATTTTGAATTATTTCCCCATGATGATGCCTAATCTGATTTCTTAATTCAATTTTAATGCAGTTTCGAAGCAGTAGCCATGGAATGAAAACAAAAGATGAAGGTTTAGGACTATTTTCTTTATCGGTCAGCAGCAACGAGCAGCCTCGAAGGCTGCCGGTTTCTGCAATGGGCGGCGGAATCCAGTGGCCAGCATCTGCAGCTTTCACTGCAAGTAGCTCTCCTCATCTGTTTTCTGCCATGACAGCAGCATCATCAGGATTCTCTTATCAAACTGTGAGGCCTCAGCCCAACAAAATACAGAGGAACTGAACTATCAATAGTAAACTTCATGGCTTTTCTTTTTCATGGTTCCTCTGTGATGGGTTGGAGTTGCTTTGATCAGTTTTATTAGTTAACTTCAAGCACATAAGGCGTGCAAATAGGCTTATATTTTTTCCTGCACTTGGTAGGAACATGTGCTAGCACAAGTTGAAAGGTTGAATCTAAATGCAACATTTTGAGTTGTTTTATTGGTTTTTTTTTAGTTCTTTTCTTACTCCTGATAAAAATATTTTTTTGATGTTCTGCTTAATTTATATTTGTAAAAAAATAGCCCTTACTCAAATTAGAGAAGGCTTAAATATAATATAGAGAGAGACATGACGTATGAGGAGCATCTCTTGTAGGAGAAATTAGCAATGGAGAGCGAGTGGCAATAGACATCAAGTGACAGTGACATCATGTAATGATAGGCTGATTGGAGGTGATTAGTGATGTCGTTCTTCTGAAAAGTGAAGAGATGAGGAGATCATGAAAGCAGCAAAGAACGATGAGTGAAGGGAAATTAGAAATCTCTTGTCTAGTACTCCAGGCAGCGTTCAGATCTCTAGATTTTATATGATTCGGGAATACTGTTGTAAGGGAAAAAGTGCTGCACTTAAGGGCATCTCCAACGGAAACTCTCATTTTTCACTGCAAAATGCAGTAAAATTAAAAAGTGCCGTGATTCATCTCCAGTGGAACGCCATTTTGCCCAAAATCATCGTTGTTTCTTTCGCGGCTTTCTCAGACGGAGTTCGGTAGAGAGAACAAAATGGCGAAAGTGAACTGTGCGACACCAATATTGGCGTCGCACTGTTCATAAGCGACTAAATGCCGGCAAAAATGGAGTTCGGTTGGCACATCTGAGGCTCTCCATTCGCCTGTTTGCCGAACGGCTGGAGAAGGCCTAGGAGGGAATGAATTAGGTTTGCAACTAGGCATTTAAAACTTTCTTTTAAATGCTTTCTTTGGGATGACTTTCTTACTATGTTGTAAATCTATTTTTTTGAACAAAAATTTATTGAAAGTTTAAAAAAAGTAGCGGTCTAAAGCTGTCTCAAACGACAGCCTAAAATTTCATTTGGGACAGATTTCTTACTGCTTTTTAAAACAGCTTTCTAATACAAAGTTGTTTTAAGAAGCAGTAAGAAAGCCGCCCCAAACAAAGCCTAAATCAAACATAATGAATGCATTGGAGAAAGCTAAATATAGAATAATGAAACACATAAAATGTAGGTTAATTATATGTAATGATACAATATGAAATAAATGTAGTGTATTGAAAATATTTTTGAGTTGTTTGGTTCAGTACATTATAAATTGTATGAGATTATATTTTATGTTTGATTTGAAGTAAAATTAATTTAGTATATAACATAGTATTGACAGATGTGGTGACGATGATCAAAGTTGACATGTGGCTACTAGCAATACTTTACACAAGCAATCTATTTGAAATTCATCCAAATAAATTGAGAAGGGTTTTCAAATACGCCATTATTTCACTCTGCATTTATTTATTATTCAACCAAATAACAAAATTTCAGAACTATATCATTTACTTTTGCTTTGCACTAATACTTCTTGCAACCAAAATGGCTTTCAACCATAATTTCAAATATTTAACTTAATTATATATATCCCCTAAAGTTAAGCAAAAGTAAATAATATAATCTCAAGTAAGTTGATTATGAAGGTAAATGCTAAGATGTGATATGAATTTGATTGTTCAAGCACATGTAACTATCTTTACTCTTACATAGTAGTATAATTACAAGTCATATGGTAATCATCAAATATCAAGCAAGTCCAAGCAATAAATTAGATAAATAATTAAATGTGTTTAGGAAATTTAAGCAAAAGAGCAAGAAAGATATCATGATATTTATGTCATTTGACCAATTTCATGCTCTAGGACTAAGGTTCTTAATACCCAAAGTTTGCTATGCAAACATATTTCTTAACATAGAAGAAAACTTATACTATCTCATTATGGGCAATAGAATCAAACACCTAACTATTATGGGCAACAAAATCAAACACCTAACCTAGAGCTTAGGAAATATAGTCTTTAAGATAAAACTAATATGCCAAACCTATGTGTCCTTAAAATTTGGAGGAGATCTAAAGGTTGTCTCCTAATTTATAAGTTCATCCTCTACAAAATATAATAGAATGATATACAATTAAAAAAACTTATACAAAGTTTAAATATTAGAGTAAAAAAAGTTACCAAAGTAAATGGAATTGAATTGATGAACATTATTAACTTAAATTTTGGAGCAAGACATTGTTTGTACTACTATTGATGTTCCATGGCCTAACCTTTAGCATAGAGCACTATAGTTTAGCATCCATGTCATTAGATGCACTAAGATTTTTTGGTTCACCCCCTAATATTGTTATGAATCCTTCAAGTCTCCTTGATTCATTGATTATTGTTGACATGATTGGATGATGCTTGACTCAATGAGCCAAGAATCAACCCTGTAATAGACTCTAATTGCTCAAGGTTCTAAAGGCATAGTTAGACTTAGGCTTAGGTGATTAACCTAAGACTAGAAGGCCCACTTTTTATTTAAAGTCTATTAATTCAATAAGATTTATAGTGAATCATTGACCTAACTAAACTCTAGCTCAGTTGCTCTTTGACTCTAATACCCCTAGTACTCATGTAGTTATAAAACTCTAAAAGACCTCCTTTAAATGCCCTTAGTTCCTTCATGAACTCGACACCTAAAACTCAGGTGTAAAGTTCAAAAGTTGTGCCTTCCCAATAACAACACTACGGGAAAACACGCGATTACCGTCGGACGTTCCGGCGGAAATGATGCGTCGGTAAAGAACGACGCATGTAATGGCGCTTTGGTGCGACGGAAACATTACGGCGCATTTTCCGGCGCATAGTACACTGGAATATTTCCGGCATTCGTTGCGCCGGTATGGGCGTCGGTATAAACCAACATTCCACTTGTTCTGTCGCACGTTACGGCGAAAAATCACCGACGTAATTACCGGCGGATATGGCGCCGGTGTATTTAAACTCAACGAAATAAATCCGGTGCATAATGTGCCGGAATTGTCTCCGACGTATTTGACGCCGAAAAATCCATCGGTGAAAGCCCTATTTTTCGAGACCGAGCCCCTCTGGCCGTTCACTTGTTTCCTTCCGTTCTCTCACCTCGCCTGTTTCGCTCGTCGCCCTCCGTCGCTCGCCATAGATCGAGGTCGCCGACGGTCACCAGACTTTGCCGACGATCATCGTACTTCGCCGAGGATCCTACCCTAACTTTCTTGGTTGCCAACAGTCGTTCATCTAGATGGAAGGTTTTTTTTTGTTTCGTTTAACGAAATATTTTCCTATTTCAGTTGGATTACATAAATGATTAGGTTTAAGCACAAATCTTTTTTGCTTTAGCCATGGATATCTTTTTTGCTTTAGCCATGGATGTTCTTACCATACATTTGCAAGAGGATGTACCGTAGTGTATGCTTTTTGCTGATGATATTCTTCTTGCTGATAAGACTAGAGATGAAGTTAAGGTAAACTTGAACAATGGAGGTCAACATTAGAGTTTAAAGGTTTTCATTTGAGTAGATCTCCTAGCAATGTAATTTTAAATGTGATAGCTCCTAGCAATTTTAAATGTGATAGTTTAAAGGTTTTAAGATGACCCAGCACCTAATTTGTCCAAAACTTGTTACAATGCAATGTAATGAATATCAAAAACCGAATACATAGAATGTAATTTTATTAGTGATAGCTCTAGTGGGGGGATTATGACTTTGGGCGATCAAGTCATTAATAAGAATACATGTTTTAGATATAAGTGATAGTGAAATTCAAGTTATTTGGTTAAAGTGGAGGAATACATCAAACTTGTTGTGTGATAGAAAAGTACCACTCATACTAAAAAAAAAAAATCTATAAATGGTGGTGAGACCTGCAATGCTTTATGTCACATAATGTTGGCCATTAAAAGAGAAGTAAAAAAATTAAATTGGGTATTGTAGAGATCGATGAGGATTCTCAAGTGGCTGAGTGTCTTTACTCTTAGAGACAATGCTAAATGGGGACAATGCTTCAGGCCTATTGTGTGATTGTCACATCTTCATGCAATATCTTTTATCATCTGATTTTAGTTATCTGCTAGATCAGATTTTAAAGCCCTTGATCGAGCTAAGTATTTTCTTCAAAGATTTATGCTCTTCTAAATTAAATGTAGAAAACTTGAATCTTATGGAGCAGTAAATTCCATTCATTTTGTGTCAACTTGAGAAAATATTTTCTCCAGGCTTTTTTGACTCTATGGAGCATCTACCTGATCATTTACCATATGAGGCTATGGTTGGTGGACCTGTTCAGTATAGGTGGATGTATCCTTTTGAGAGATATTTAAATAAACTTAAGAAGACCGCTAAGAATAAAGCACAACCTGAAGGCTCTATCTGTGAAGCATATTTAACATATGAGACAACTCAGTTTTGCTCGTATTATTTTGAAACAATGTCTCAATCAGGTGAAAGTTCAGCACCTCAAAATATTGGTAAATCCTCTAATATATTTGTATTCAGTGGAATTGGGGAACCTTTAGGCGCTAGCACCGTGTGCTATTTGACCGATAAGGAGATGATAGTTATCACATTATACATCTAGCTTAACTGTGATGAAGTTCAGCCGTATCTCGAGTAAGTATGAGTTAAGTTGTTTATATTTTCAGTTTTCTTTTAAACTTTGTTCTAAACTCACGATGATTATTTGTATGAGGTTCATTGATGGTCTTAGTACATTAGAAGAAGGAGAATTCCAGAAGATAGTGGAAAAAGAATTCACTGTTTGGTTTAAAAATACGGTATATTTTGAATAATTAGTCTTAATTAATGAGTTATGTCTACAATTAATATTAATAACAATAACATTTTGTTCATTTAAAGGTACACACTGAAGACAGTTCGCAGTATTCAAGGTTATCTGAGTTAGCTTGGGGACCAAATAGATTAGTAAAATGTTATCAAATA